AAGCTATGAATGTGGATGGCAACTCAGATGGATGGAAGAAGGTACAATTTCCTCCCACTTGAAGTAATTCCGAGAACAGTGCTGTGCAACAACTGAGACCATACCTGTGTTAATGAATATTTATTATCTGACACAGTTCTCTTCATTCTACTAAGAAATGTAGTTTTACAGTTATGTCAGCATTTTTAAAAAAAACATTTGTTAAAAAAAAAAAAAAGCAATGAAAAAATAACTCTACCAGAGTGCTCAAGTGTTTTTGCAAATGACCCTAAGTTAATTAGAAAAGTCTGCACCCCGGTCAGTTCTCCTTCTCACATGTCAACTCTCATTAAATCAAAAAATTCTCATTTCAAAGTTAACCAACACCATGGTTAACAAAACTGTTAAACTGGGATCAAGTGGGCACATTCCTAGGTTTATATATGATGTCATGCTAAGCAGCCCACAGCTGAACTCGCAAAAAGTATGAATGATTTTTCAATATAGTAAGTATCTGATCTAATGCTAATTCTCTCTCTATAGGCTAACTGTGCTGGGAACAGGTGGCCCTGCTTTCAATTATGAAGGGCTAACATGCCAGTGTGAGGCCTGGATTAGTTCACCTTCTCACAGGGAATTTGCCTCGGTTGGGAATGGATTTATTATGGCTTCACACATGGAATGGAGCTCATGTCAACTGAGGGCAGTGACACATCATATGATTCAAATTAACCTGCTGTGGACTGTTCCGCAGGGCTGAGATTGTGTATTAAAATGACGACATTTTAAAACAGCTTGAAAGAAACCAGGATTGTTGAAGCGCAATGGTTCCAATTTGTTCCAACTAATCTATCACCTGCTGGAGATATTATTGTAGTGGGTTTCTGGTAGCTGCTATTTTCCAGGTTTCTCCAAACCAATGACCTTGCTAATGGGCACAGTTGTTGCCTTTGGAGGTAAAGGGGGGAGGAAACCCTACAAAGTGCTTTTTTATGTATGGTTGGAGGTATGTTATTCATCGCAACATGTAAGGAACCAAGTGGGGTGGGGAGAACAGTAAAACAGAAAAAACTCTTATAGAAGCCTCTCTACTAAATGACAGAACAGTTCATTATATTTTCAGCTTTGATTGGATAAAGTGCTAGAGATAGTAATTCCAAATAGCAAAAATACAGGGAACCTAATAAATACCTAAAATCTTTCCAAGAAAATAATGGGGACAAGGATTTTGGGACAAAAGAACTTGCATTTTTATCAGACTTATAATTAGTAATAATGAGGCACTTTAAACTGTATGAATCATTGACAGATTTTCTTAAATATTATGACAAATATATGCACATGATAAAGTATGTTAAAAACAAAGCTACCCCTTATCTCATCTTGAAGTCACAAACCTGTTCATCAGAAATAACAATGAGATAATAAAATGATGAGATAACCTTCATGATAGCAAGCAACAATTAGCTGAATGACTATCAAATACAGCATGCCAGTACTATACTGCAAATAGAGAAAATCATGGTGTATGAGAAAGTTGTAAAGGTGGTCAATTCATACAGAAAACAAAACCAAAAATAGTTCTTGTGGACATGAAGCAGCACTATTATTTGGCTGGTGGTGACAGCTGGCCCAGTTTGCAAAATCAGCTTGTTTGAGCTGCAGTGCATGCCATTTGCCTAATTGAGGTAGTTTGTTGTGCCATTTAAATTTAGGTGGCATGTTTTGTTTGAAGGGAATACAACCCTCAGATGCTCTATGGCCTGTTACTGGTTTATTTCCCTCTCAAATAACTAATGTTGCTCATGTTCGGACAACACGAAAAGCCATTCTCAGGTGGGTCATTAGGCAAAAGGTGTCCAGTATGCATCATCGCTTAGACAAGCCACCATGTGAACCATGTCTGTCTCAGACACAGACCCAGTGGCATAGTAACCCTTCTTACTGGGTATATTCTGCATTGCTGGTGAGAGTGTGTGGATGTGCTTACTACATGAAGAAGGCTAACTGCCTGGCTTTGTCCCACCCAGCTTGAACTTTTTCATTTGCTTGGCATTAACCAGGTCAGAAAGAGACATGTGAACAGTCCTACCCACTTGTTTTGGATACTCACATGTACTAAGCAGTAGAACATGTACATGGCCCCAAGCTGTGGGGAAGCAACTGCCAAGCCACTATACACTATATGGGGGCAGGATAGGGAAATTCCGAGAGATTGGTGGGGCATGGTTTGTATAATCATTTGTAGTTCATTTGAGTCACTATGGCTTGTAGTCAGATAGCCCATGCTTCTGGGTGGTTTTTAGGATTCCATGCAGTCAACTTACCCTCACTAGATTTGGACAACCTGTGAGCAGGAGTTGAGGTACAGAATGGGTGTCTGGCATACAAGCCATAGTGAATTATTTAAGCCACTATGGTGTGAAATGACTGTGCAGACCCAATGAAGGGAAGACAGAGAGAAGTAAACTTCAGGTAAACTTTTATAAAATTCACTGCCAATAAGTAATGCCAGTTTAGGAGGCAAATCTTTTACAGTTATGTTTCCAATTATTAGTGTAAAATGTAGCATAAAGTGACTATGTTATATGCCAGTCTAGGTTATAAAAGCTGAAATCTGAATATGTTTCCTTAAACATTTCACAAAGAAATGGGAAAACTTGGCTTTAAAACACAGTATAGTTCAACATTTATTTACTTTGCAAATTTTGAGGTAACTGGAATCTATACTGCTAGTGTTTGTAGAGTTAAAACAAATGTGTTGTAAAAAAAATTTAGTTCTGTTGCCTTTATAGTCATCAGTAACAAGTGCATACACCTTGAAATATTTATAGTTGCAATATAATATTTAATGATTGTTTAACACAAACAACCAGCCAACATATTTATAAAAGGGCCCAAATTTTAATCACTAGCATTTATTATCATCAGTGTATTTATTTATCATCTCTGTGGATTTTATATCTCACACACATACCCCTGCTGCTCTCTATGTGGAATACTACCCAGTTGATTTTGATGGGGTCATTTGAAAGTTAAACACTTAAGTAGTCTTTCAAAGAGCTCAAATCAGGTCCTGCATTCCTGTTCTTTGTGTTCAAACTAGGCTGGCCAATTAGGAACTGGGACAGTTTGAAAAACCTTGCTGCATTTCAAGTCAGATCTGACCCCCTTTCAAATTCAGCTCTCCCTGTCAATGTCCTCTCCTACTTATGCAAACACCTATAACTTTGGAGAAGGGGAGGAGTAAGCAGTAGTGTGGAGAGGCTTGTCTAGTTTCTGTACAAAGGGAAACAGAGATTTGGAAGGGAGGATACCCTACAAATCCTAAACTCTCTGGCAAAGAGAAAATTCTGACAGACAATCATGCTAAGTGTAGATTGTTTTCATGAACTAGGTTTCATGAAACCTAGTTTCAACCTCTCCCCACAGTTCTCTGGCCAGCACTGTCACATATCCAAAGCCTATTTGTGATGTAATCTACAACCCAAAATCCCGTTTCCTTGGGGCACCAGGAGCTGCCCCCTCCCCCCATTAACCTGTTGCACATTGGGGGCATGTTTTTCCATTGCCAGTTCCTGTTAGGAAGTTTCTCTTCTACTGCCTGTACCTGATTCTCTTTCCCATGCATCCAAGTAAACCTTTCTTTACTGTGTTGTGTGCTGTTCTTTGCATTAATACTGTGACCTCCCTGCCATTTCTGAGACAGTTGATTTATGTTGCAGTCACTTATTTGCCCAGTCCTGGCAAAGAAGCAGCGCTTCCTCAAATTCCCGCCATGCCCCTGACTCTCACGCCTATTCATGGAGCAGCCTTTCCTGCTTCTACATCTGGAGCATGCTCCCCACTTCTCCTGCTACAACACCACCAACAAATGTAGCTACCTTTTACCTCCAAAGAACACCAATTTGGGTTGTAAATAGGAATTTTATTGAGAAACAGCAGTTTTTGGCAGCTTCTGTTGCTACATCTACAGCAGCTTAAAGCCAGCCGCTCATTTAGAAGCTGCTATAAGGCACTTTATGAAGCGTGCAGATGAATGGGTTGCTGTGTCCGAAAGACAATATAAGTAACTATTCTACTGGTTTTTGGATGTGGTATATGAAGGAAGATTGTGAAAGACTATGTAGGGGTAGCTTCAGCCTGGAATGTTATGCTTCAGCAGATGCTGCAATGGAATGGCTACTCATATATCTTAGAGGAACGATGCATTATTCTATATTTTGTGAATAGGTATAAAAAGGCTGACACGAGATGGACTTCTGTAGGTGTACTTGTGTACTTCTTACTGGTGGTACACACAGGGATAGCTGAAAAGGTCTTTGTCACTTGCGCCCAATTAACTGAGTCACATGCTGCATTGGCAAGAAGCAGTGAGGGGGATCCCTGCACCCACTGATGGGACAGTGACATTTTCTAATCTGAATTCTTGCAGCTCTGGCTTGAAGAACCACATCTCCCTTTGACTTGCACATGTCATGGAAGGTGCAGCAAGCTACAATCACTTCTGGAAGCATGTAGAGGGTATGTCCTGTAGCCTCAGGAGCCAAATGCACACTTTGTTGGTGGTCTTGCACAGCTATGGTAGTTGCTTAAGTTTGTTATCTTCAGTGCCTGGTATGTTACGATAAATTAATGGTTGCAGAAAAAGACCTCACTGCTGAGAATGAAGAGATGCATGGGGAAATTGTTAACCATAGTTGGTAGTGTGGGGTAAACTGAAGAACCTGCCTGTGTCTGGCCTGTCTGCCAAAGGGGAGTTTCAAAGGATAGCTCCATCATGGCTTCTCTCCAAATCCCCTATGTAAATATCCATAAATCTTCCTTTACAGTCCACAAGTACATGGCGTACCATGCCATAAAATCATTTGCAGTTGTAAATTTCTCGCCCTGCCCTGAAGAACTAAAATGGGCATGCGCAGGGAATCTACAACCCTGCAGCCAGGACAAAACCTAGTTCATGAAAACTCTGCATGTTCTTTCTTCTCATCCTCCATCTTAATGAGGTCAGTGCAGCTTACTCAGTATGCACACTTTCTCTGAATGCAGGCATCATGTGACAGTGTTCAAGGACTTCCTTCTTCTCATTGTGGTGATCAGTGACTGGTTTTAGAGTTACAGCTGTCACAGCAGGAAAGTGCCAGAACAGGGGAAATGTGCCATAACAAACTTTTACACCCTCGAACCTCAAGTGGTGCTGGTTCAGCTGACAAGAAGCAGGACAAATGACCAAGAGGGGGAGGCAGCAGAGGAATATGGCACTATCTAGTGAATAGGTGGCAGATTTCCACTGCCAGAGGAGTAATCAGGAGTCACATCTCTTTCATGCAGCAGAATTGTACTGAGCTTGTCATAGAAAGGCTTGGTGTTGAGCTTAACCCTTGGGCACTTGTTGTGAGACATGATCTCCTTAAGCTTCTTTTTTAGTTTTTGCAGCTCCTTGTTTTATTCAGGGCTGCACAGGTAGCATCTGCCTGGAAAACTAGGGGAAAGGATTATTGTTCCTAGTACTCTGCTTCTGAGCTTTACTGAGAGTTTCATAAAGAAGTCCAGTTCTGTCTCAATCCAGAACTATGCCTGAACTCTTACATGTGGTTTCTCCCACTCAGACTTGGCAGGAGCTCAGATGAGTGAGAACTAGTAGCACAAACTGGAAACATTGCAAATGGGGTAGAGAGGAAGGCTTGACAACATGATCATCTTGGTTTGAAGCGTTGAATCAATACTTCTCAGTGTCCTCTACCTTTTCAATACTTTTCCAATTCTCCAGCTACTCCAGGAAGAGGAGACAGTAACTCCCCTCCCTCCCACACACATTTTTTGTGTGTGGCTACTTTTCAGACCAGTTACTGTTGTTCAATTACAGCTTTAAAAAAATGGGAGAAAAACATGCAAATTTAGTGTCTAGCAAATAAATGGAGGGTAATTTGTCAGTTACAGTAACTGCTCTGTAATTGCACTTGCAAAAGACCAATACAAAATAAAAAGTATAAAAAGATGCACAGTGAAAAAAAAATCAAGCCCCACTATGCTTTATTGAGGCTTCAAACAAATATTGCATAGATGAACAAGAGTAACAATTGGGTTGGGAAGGGGGAGAAAAAATGGGTTGCCCTGCCATTTCCTGTGAAGATTGTGAGGAGGGGTCTTCTGAGGCGAGTGATGGGGAGGGCTCCTCAGCTGCCTGCTTCAGCTGGCTTCATGGTGCAAGCAACCATAGGAAACAAGCAGGTGGTCACCTGAAGCAATTTTACCTGGGTAGAAGCAAAATCCCCCATGGAAAAAGGGTAGTAATAGGGTCAGCAGATGTAGTGACAAGACAGTGAAAGGATTTAGTCCAAAAGTGGAGAGAGAATATTGGCATCAATCCATTAGATCCATTTTGCAGGCACAACGATTTGCACAGAAGGCAACATGTTAAGGGTCTGCACAGTATAAGTTCGCCAAAAAAAAAAAAAAAAAAGGTAAAGGTTTCCCCATGACATTAAAGTCCAGTCATGTCTGACTCTTGGGAGCGGTGCTCATCTCCGTTTCCTAGCCGAGGGAGCCAGTATTTGTCCACAGACAATTTTTGTGGCCAGCATGACTAAACACCAAGGTGCACAGAATGCTGTTACCTTCCCACTGAAGTGGTACCTATTTATCTACTTGCATTTATAAGCTTTCAAACTGCAAGGTTGGCAGGAGCTGGGACAAAGCACGGGAGCTCACCCTGTCTGCAGATTTGAACTGTCGACCTTTTGATCAACCAGCCCAGCAGCTCAGCAATTTAAACCACTGCGCCACCTGCAGTCCCTAAGTTCGCAAATAAAGTGGATTATTCACCTTTTTCACTTAAAATATATTTTACTGAAGGGGCAGGAGTAGAATGACTTGAAAATTCAGCTGAAGGCAGTACTATAGAAAGCTCCTTCAAGGTTGCCCTGTAAATTGCACACAGCTGGCTCACATGGGAAGACACAATTACTTTGCCAACAAGTAAACAAGCAAGGCAATGAAAAGACCCCAGGAAGTAAGGGAATAGACTACTGAATAAGGAGAGGGAGGGCACGGGAGTCAAACTTTGGGAAGTATGACTGCACAGTTGGACAGGAGTGGCAGGAATTTTTGATATTCCAATATCATATTCCAGTGTCCTTTCCTACTCTGTTTTTAATGCTTCCAATTTGTGCTACTAGTACTCTCCTTTTTTACTATTTTTACTTTGGATAAAACAGCTTGTCATGTTCAGATGACACAACAAACCACTGTTCATAAGGATCACCTCAAAACAAGGCATAGGTTCTAAGCTTGCAAAAGGAGTCCCTGCGGATTTTACTCAGTCAGCAGCAAATAGGGGTGGTGCTCATCTTCATTCCTGAGGCTGTGAGCCAGCACTGTGAGCCAGAAGATGATCCCACAGTCATGTGGCCAGCATGATGTCACAAAGTGCTGTTACCTTCCTACTGAGGTGGTACCTATTTGTCTACTTGCATTGCATGCTTTCAAACTGCTAGGTTGACTAGGAGCTAGGGGTGAACAACAGGAGATCAGTCCATCTGGCAGAAGCTGGGCTCGAACTGCTGGAGTGGTGACTATTTCTGGCTGATAGTTCCAGTGTCACTGACCCGCTGAAGAAAAATCAGCCACCCTGCAGAAACTACACCAGTTCTGGATGATACAACAATCACCATGGCTGCTTACCCAAGCTGGGCTGTTGCATCATGCACACCAGGTCACTGAAGTTCCTGAGCTCAAGAGCATAACTATGAGCTAAGGAGAGACTGGAAAAGCCTTCTCATGTTTCTGGTGAGCTCTCTCTCAAAGTTCATGTTTTTTGCGTGGGAAGCAGATAAGAGCACTGGCTTGGAAAGTGCTAGGGCACACATTTGTTGTTTGAAGACCTCTAGCACCACCTTTATTTGGATTTGAAAGAGTGGCTTTGTGCTTTGTGTTCTGGAGCTCAGACTCTGCTTCCAACTCATGCTGGCTATTTCTACCATGTTAGCCTTTTTAAGAATGAGCAAGCCCTCACATGGCTGCCAGTCTTAGAGAGTGCCTACAAAACTATGTCACAATTCCAAATGTGTCCACTGGCCCAGAACTCTTATACTGCCCAGATGTTCTGTCCAATTCTGCTTTAACTTTCATTGTGACAGAACTGTGACTGTGACTGTGACTTTTTAAACAGCATGCATGCTATCAAATAGCAGCCTGTTCTCTACCAATCTCCAAATAAAGATGCATTAGAATAAATAGAAAATGACCTGCATTGGATTTTGTAGATACATAACTATAATAAGTTCTCAAAATCTGCCAGTCTAACACTACAAAAATTTTATGAGAAGCTACTAAAAATTGTTTTGTTCAGAATTATTGGTAAGCAGCATCGGAAATGCAACAGATGGAATTTTTTTTTTTACAATGGACATAATTTTAACAATAAAAGGATATATTTTAAAGGTAAAAATAAAGGCTTGGATCCAGGTTTTGCTTCTGCTGGCAGGAGTATTTCCTGACTGGAGTGCCTTACAGGGCAAAGTATCACTAGTAGAAGGAGGTTACTTTTGTGTTCTGTTCCAGAGGGTTGGCCCTCCAAAACAATGTGAGAACTGACTGTGGAAGCTGTAATGGTTGGAGATGAAATTGGCAAATTCTTCTTCCCCTTTCTGCTAGGAAGTTCCTCTATTGGATCAAAAAGCTTTCATGGATCAAAACAGTCTCCTAGTTGGAGAAAATAAAATATGGATATGGCCCAAACAAAATAAAAGGATTGTTCTTATAAAAGAAATGCTTGCAGTCATATCAGGCATGTTCCAAGGTCCACATGTTTTTGACACGTGGCAGCTAATTTAATGCTTTGAATATATGTACATAGCATTGCTTGTATGTGGGAGAAGCAAATGAGTTTGCAGATACACATATATCTGAAAGACAAAGAGACAGATAGCTAGAAAGATTTAACTCTGTGGCTAGGTACCACTGAAATATGGCTCATTTCTTATACAAAGAGGGCTGCAAATTATTATCAATTTTTTCCCAGTCATGTCTTGTCCTATAAATAGAAGGCTTGCTTTGTTAAATGAACAATTTTCCATCTCACAGATTGTAATTCTGCTGCAGTAAAATTGTGCCACCTCTGTCCAGAGGATAAGACCTCATTGGTATGTGAATATAAACTGGTACATTAAGAAAAAATGATTTTTGCCTAAAAATGTCTCAAGTCTCTTCCTTTGAGAATTTGAATATATTATAATTAAGATGTCAAACTGAAATTTAAAAAGGTATTCTTACCTGGACCATTAAGGAAATCTTTAACCTGCAATGTGATGAGAGGAGGTGGGATGCCACTTTTAGCATCTATTTCTCCTGCTACTGTTTGCAACCATGTCTTGCTGTAGTCAAGAGTTTCTGGGAGTGTTTTTCCAGGATCTAATAGATAAAAATTTAGTTATGAAAGATTGTTAATATACAGCTAACAGTGTACTGAAACAGAAAAAAGAAGCTGTGTGTGCATATCTTTTAAGTATTTATGTCTGACATTCACATACAACATATTCTGTAGAAATAAAACATAAATAGTACATGTATATGTCATCTACATACTGCACTATGATCATTTCTACAGGGGTGGATTTGTTTGCATGTTGAAGCAAAGCATAAAAACAAAACCCTCTTGTGGCACCTTAAAGACTAATGTATAAGTTGTGGCATAAGCTTTTGCATACACTGATGTAACCTAAGATGGTAAATCACAAGTTCAGGGCTCCACCATTCCAAGTGCTAGATTAGCTCCCATTCAAATGTGCAGCTGCTTCCGAAGGAAACATGGAGGTGAGCAGTTGAGTGGCTGCTGCTGCTACAGACATAGAACTTCTGAAGAGAAGCTGAATCAGGACTTGGCTCCACTTTACACTTCCTGCCTGCCATCTTAGAAATTGGCAGGGTTGGAGATGGGTACTCAAAAGCTGCCCTGCCATGCTGACCTCAGGTCTGGCCTGATTTAAATCCTTAACTTGTGAGTGTCTATCTGTTGAGTTTGAGCAAATGCAGCTGTGTCACAGGCCTTAGCTGTGCTGTAGTTCTGGGTGGAAGCAAGAAGCTGGCAGGTATGTGTAGTGATCTGTAAGTTTCAGTTACAGGGCAATGTACATTACTTATATGTACATTATTTAATGTCTGTCATATCCAGAAAGTGAATGTAGTGTGGACTATTCTAGTCTCAAGTTAATGCTGTGGTGGAAGTTACTGAAGTCCTGGCAGAACTTCATTGAGAGATTTCATTCCATTTCTTGTGGTTTGAAGAAGGATAATTATTATTACTTTGATCATGCTACCTATGTTAGTCAATTCACTGCTGAATCTATGTCTGTACTATCACCCAATGATGTTTTGTGAATGGCAACTGCGAAGGTAACTATGGGTTAACCTGACATGGAAATCTTTGCCTGAATTTACTTTGCCAGATAATCATGTGGTTACTTGGGCAGTGTGGTTTGCATATTCCCTGCTCCATCCTCCCAACCATGTTGGGCATACTGCAGTCCCTGCAGGCAAAATCTCTGTCTTGCCTTTGGACCGCAGTAGCCTCCTTCTCATTTGGTCCTGAAGTGGGTTCCCCCTTCCAAGTGTAGGTGCCTGTGGCATTCCCTAGCCACTCCAGTCCCCACAGACATTTTAACTAAGTGAACATAAACTGTTTCAACGTGATTCCCCCTTTCCCCTCCATATACTTTTGCAGTGTCTCCCTGCTTCCAAAAGTAAATAGGGAGAGGGTAACAACATCTGACCAATGGAAATAAAGTGAGTTATGATATGTCTACTGCTAGGGAGCTGAGGGAAGTAGAGATCAAAGGCTGGAAGAGGCCACTTGTGGAGCCGCTCTTTCTAGGAGAGTCTATGGTATTTCCATACCAATAATGGTAAAATGGTGATCCCAGGTGCAGATGACCAAAGAAGCAATGGTGAAGCATGGAATCTTAGAAGAGAGTGTTGATTCGCTCAGTTTTCCAAAAAATAATAGTACCATGAAGGAATATTGGAATTGGTCCCTAACAACACAACAGACCCACAGTGGTATGATGTTACTATGCAAAACCACCCAATGTCTATATTTTTTGCATTTCAATTTCCCATGCAAGCTCATTTGCATTTCCCTCCCACCATCCCAGCTTCAATAAACAAATCTGCTAATTCGAGGTTGACACTTTATATAACTGTTGAAATAAATAGTGCCCACAAAAACTTATGCTGGAATAAATCTGCTAGTCTTTAAGATGCCACAGAATTCTTGTTTGCAATATGATAATTATACATATGTTGTAATGACTAAAAGTCATTCTATGCTATTATCACCAAATGTAAAAAGGCATCCTGTATGGACCATTAGATTTTGTATATCTGAACTGTACATCTAAACCTGACCTATGGCATACTGCTCTTTACAATAATGCATTTAAATTTTTCTTTACCCATATTTTCAAATGCTTTGCACAAAAGTAAAAGCGAGTGAACAAGAGAAGGAATAAACTATACACATGTCTTAAAGATCAGAAAACCACATGCTTGGAGATGCATGAGTAGCTCTTCTTATGGGTTATTTGATACAGTTTGCAGTTTCTCTGACATTGCAATCCCTTTTACTGCTAGGCTTTTGAAGTTAACTTCAGTGACTTTTCATCTTGGCCCTCCTTGCTCAATCCCTAATATTCCCAATTGTGTCTAAAAGTTCACATTTGGTACTTCTCAGTTCTATTACTTTTTCATGTTCTAGACAATGTATAGGAGAAATCTTCACTGTGAAAAATTTTAAAAATCTCTTAGACTTGTTCTATTTGCCTTTTTAAAAGTGGCTGTAGTGTTTAAACATTCTACTATTCATACTTTAAGAATTTCAGATACAAAATTGCTTTATTTTGGCTTGATGGTTGCATATTCTGTTATACAGTGATATAGAAAATAGCATTCTCTAATGTTTATATAATTTCAGTAGATTACCAACTGCCCTATTCATTTTGGGTAAGATGAACTGATTTCCTTTTAAGAATGGTGGTTTCATGCCTTCACTGATATTCAGCATATGGCAGTGCAGTGAAAACCGGGCATTATGTATTTGGAATGTATTTCTCAACCTAAACATATGATTCATAGAAAATCCAGCACACATAGACCTTTATGCAATTTCAAAGAACAAAGGGAAACTAATTAAGACTAGGTCTATATGGAAAAGGAGTCAAAGTTAGCACATTCCTCTGAGGTTGTTCATATCATTACTTGATCAGTTTTCAGAAACTGCACTATATACTTTACAATTCCTCATCACTTTTTCACTTAGATTACTGCATTTCTATGGTAATCACAAAACAAGATAATATTGAGCAGTACAGAAAAAAACTTTCTACAGTCTTATACTGTAATACTATGCCCTTCAGCACCAAGACTGACTTTTGTAAAGGTCACTCTTCAAGTCACTGCTTAAAATGTTTCATGATAATATAACTGAGTCATGGGAAACTGCACAGAAAGCTAGAAAAGATGTTCAAGCCATGCACAATAAAGTGTTGATTAAATTACAGCACAATCCTGTGGCTGCTAGACAGAGTCTAAATGCCCACAGAATTATTTGAATTTCTAACTATAGGATTGAAAAATTGCTCCAACTGCATCTCCAAAGTCATAAGACTGACTGTGGGGGCATTCTAGGGCTTTTGGGCACATTCCAGGAGGCAAGGAGTGTAGAAGACCAGACCAGCCAAGAACTGAGGTATACTGCTCATGTATCAGCCTTCTTGCCTCCTGCTCTGAAGTGCTGTATTTAGGTGGTCAAAATTATCCAGTCTGTACAGTGAAAGGAGCACAGAGGTGACCTTCAACTTTGTGCCCCTCCTACCAACCATAAGATAACTGGAAACCTCAGAGTTCAGAGGGGTCTTTCTTCAGGGCCAGGCAATGTGAGGACAGGTGTTCCTGGAGGTCATTTGTACTTTGGACAACATCCAAGAGGACACCTCCTACAATATTTGGCTTTGATGAAGGACCCCTGAGAGCTAGGAACTTGGGTGCGGCTGCTCTTTGAGGAACTGTGCCAGCTGCTTTTCTAGTTGACATGGCCCTCCAAGAGTTCAGTTGTCTGCTGGATCACGCTGAGAAGATCGCCAGAGCAAGTGATGGCTGACAAGTGAGCAAGAATGGATGACAAGGAAAGATGCATAGCTGAGGGAGAGAGAGCAGTGGTGACGGCAGCAGTAAAGGAAGTATGGTGGCAGAAGGTCTTTCTGGTAGGTGGATTAAGCAAGTCACCACTCCTTCTGTTCTGCCTCATAAGGTGGGGGCTTCATGCCACCTCATGGAAGGGCTGTGCTTGCATGTCCTTTCACATGGTGTTGGACTCATATCACTCCTAGCTGCACAGGCAATAGGGAGGGTTAATAGTCCATACAGTATAATACTATCTGTAGCAAGCTGAGCAAGGCTAAAAGAATACTTAATATTAATTTTGCAAAATTTTAATTCTTTTATAAATATGTCCAGAAATAAATATAATAGATGCATTTGTATGTTTTGTATAATCTGATATGCTGTCTGTGAATGATATCATTTGCCTTTTGGGGGGGCTGGGGGAGGTGATACATATAGTTCTAATTGTTTTGTGCTTGTGGCATATTGCACTAGTCTGAATTACTGAATTACTGAGATAGACTGATATCTTTGGTTTCATACTATTAGTACACAAAGTTTCATTTTCTTCTTTATAGAACTTAATTTCCAGCCCTGAGTCACATAATATTGATCTGATGCAATCAACATCTGTAAATAAGTAGGTATGTACTTGGACTTTCCAAAAAGCTATCAACAAAGTTGGTGAGACACCCTTAACAAAAACATAGCAGTGACAACATCTTCATATGGATCAACAACTGGCTAAGAAACAGGAATCAGAGAGATGGAATAAACTGATGGTTCAGGAAAGTAATCTTTCCTAGCACGCTAGCACAGAGATAAAAACATTAACTTCTTTCTCTAATGTCCGGAATAGACTGCAACAGCTTCTCTATAGAACACCCATGGTAAATGCCTTACACTTCCAATTCCATATCTTCTAATAATAATAATATAATCAATAACAAACATCCTTGAAATGTATGTGATGAATCTCAAAAACTAAATCAAAATTGGCCAAACTGTGATACTGACAGAATGGAATAACTGCATTACTCATGAGTGATAGAATGATGAGCTTAGAGAACAAGTCCTCAAAATCATGAAGCGATTAAAACTTTATGGTGATACACCATTACTTATTTAGTTAAAGTGCTCAAAGAACCCTTAGGTTACTGGATAGGATAAAAATGTATGTAATAAAATCAAATCACATATTTGTTTAATTTTCTTAACAACTAAAGAGAAAGTTCCAAAAGGAGACAATACCTTTGCTGCATTCATCAGTTCTTTGGTAAAACTCCTTAACTTAGTGGTTTATATGTTTAAGGGTTTAAGAAGGAGCTAAAAAGCATGGAAAGTAAACCTAAGAGACTGGTTAAACACGGGCAACTGACATGCCTCTGCCTCTTCTTGAGTGATCATTCAAACAAGAGCATTCCCTTGGTCCTCTAGACCTGGATCATCAACCCATGAATCCAGGGTTTGAGACAGGACTTTTTCCAGGCCTACTTGGAGACATCGGGATTGAACATGGGACCTTTCACAAGCAAAGCAGGTGTTTTACCATTCAGCTATTGCCTCTCTTCATTTGTGGTGGAGGTGGGATTATAGCATTACTTTTAAAGTTTTTATTTGTTGCAAAACTCAGGCTCCTACTGGAACTTTTTAAAAATGTAGACAAAATGTTGAAAGAAAACAACCAGATCAATCTTTCCTCTTGTATTTGGATCTTCACAGTCTACCCAAAGGGGTTTTCATGTGCATAAAGAACTTGCTAGTAGTTCTTACAAAACTGTCCAAGCTGCCCACCCAGTCATCAGTGCAATACCGCAAGCACACCACTGCATTTTGTTGTATTGTTTTCTTGTTGGTTTTTTAACCATCTAAACTTTAGTGGTGACTTGATTCTGTGGCCATGAAGGGAAGCTACCCATGCTAATGAATGTAATAAACTCAAGTTAGCTTTGTATAAGGAGGATTACTTAAAGCTAACTTGAGTTTACATGTTCATCTATAAACAAAAGAAGAACTGAGTAGTAATATGCTAATTTAAGGATGTTAAATGGTCTTACCTGTGCTCTTGTAGTCTGATGCTACACCTTTAAGGACAGCATCAAACACAGATATTTCCACCCTCTGTTTTCTGTGATGACAACTTAAGAGCAAAGATGGTTGGGATACAACAAGGTGCAAAAATGGCTCTAACTTTAAGTCAGCAGATCCTCTGCGGCCAGGTTGTCGGACAACAGTTATACCCAAGGCCTGCCTAGCTGATGATCTTGTAGAAGCATGAAGAGTTTCCAAGGAAATAAGTCCTGTTGTTTTTGCAGAGGATAATAAAGTGTTACTGTTCAGGAGATCATCTGCTGTTATTGATGAAATGCCTGCTCCAACAGGTTTCTTGCAGTCAAGAACAGTGGATTCTGAATGGATCGGTGAACTGTTGGTTATTTTCTCAGTTTCTTTCGGATCTTCCACTGGCTTTGGTTTAGGTAAAACAGTGCATGAATAAGTCATAAAGGAGATTCGGCTTGCTGTAATAAATATGTCAAATGGTATAAAGTTCAGGTTCTTTACAATAGAAGACTGCCGGGAAGGACGGGCAATGCGGTGTTGGCTGGTGCCACTGTGTTGTTCTATTTGGACGATTCTGATTTTAACACTGTCACTGCCAATGCCACTGTCCTGGGCTCCACTATAACGTGAAGATGTTTCAACCATACTGCCATCAGATGCATCCATTTTTTTCTGTTCCCATTTGGAAACCTGGTATGAAAACATTGAATTGACATAAAATAGCTTTATCTCAATTATTTCAATTTCCACTACATAACACAATAGGTATATAAAGATGAGGTCAACATTGAGAGCATTCTATCAGAAAGAAAAACTTTCCAAATTAACTTTTGTCAAAGAAATTACTCATGAAAACTCAGCAGGTGTTTGTTCCAGAGAAATGATGACTCACATTTAATGAAATGTTGGAGAAAGATGTGGCAGGGTGAAGAAAAATTTCCTAGGTTCTTATTAATTTTTCTTAAGATGCTACAGATCATTTAGAAACATAAAAAATAAAAGTATTTTAAGGTCATCCAACTGGAGAATGTTCAATTGATTATGCATCTGCCTTTTAGGCAATCAGTTAACATTTAAATAAACATGCATATTACCCAAACCTTAATATATGATACTGAAGGAAGGCTAAACAGGTCACAGTTTAATAAACACTGGTATCCACTGTTATAAGAAAAGCCAACTTTTATTCCATTTCTTGCTATGATGACAATTAAAATATAGTATTTTAAAACTGTAAAAATATATCCTCAACTATCAGTTTTTTTGATTAAAGTTTACTCATACAAATTAAAGCTGGTTCCTACTAATATATAATTCATCAAGACTATATTGGAGAAAATTCTGAACAGAGGCACTTTTGGGACAGATGACAGCAAGCAAGCAGAAACTTAATCTCAAAATCCTGGAAGTGTTGTGGGTAGAGGTGTACAACTGACAGTGGATGAGGTTACACTCATTCTTGAAGACCAAGTATACAGTCTGGGAGTTCTCCTAAACTTAGTGCTTATTATGGGGGCACAGATAATGCTGGTAATCCTGCACATTACTTGGGGCAGACCTACAAGGTAATCCAGAAAACATTTGTGTAGAATGCAACAATTGGAAGACTTGCAGAAGCTAGGTGTTTCAATGATGTCACAGCTGTTCTATGCCAATTCTAGTGGCTGCCTATTCATATCTAGGCCACATTTATTCAAGGTGTTGACATTAGCCTTCAAAACCAAAAAGACTTTGGGACCATGTTATCTGAAAGATCCCCTGAAGCTGTATCACCTTATTCTCTGGGCTACTTGTGAAAGTCATGAGATTAACAAATACCAGAGATGGTGATTTTGCCAGCTGCTATTTTTTCTGTTATTTTTGTTATTTTAATTAGGTATTGAATACTGTTATTTTATAGTGTGATTACTTATTTATAATGGATATACTGAATAAGTGGTATACCCACTATGTATACTCAGATATTGTATCATAAAAGAAAAAGGGGGACATAGCAAAATGACTGTTAATGCCAAGATAAAACAGAACATAAAATATATAACTTTAAATATCATTAAAGCACTGAAAGCAAAATGTAAATGTTATGTCTAAACAGTTTGTATTGTTAGCGTTGAAAAATTGTGTCTCTCTGTTATGGTAACTGTCTCTGGCATGCAACATCTGAGAGTTGTGAAGCACCTTATGTTCAACTGAATTAAATATAAAAATACCTATACAGTTTTCTCAGAATCAAATGTCACCTTCTCAAACTGGATAGAGGTAACTAGTGGGGTGCTGCAGGGCTCAGTCTTGGGCACAGTCAACATCTTTATCCATGATTTAGATGAGGAAGTACAAAGAAGGATAATCAAATTTGCAGATGATACAAAACTGGGTAGAATAGCAAACACCCTAGAAGACAGAATAAAGATCCAGGGCAAAAGTAGGAGTTCCCTTATACTCCTCATTAGTCAGACTCATAGAATAGTAGAGTTGGAAGGGCCATGAAGGCCATTGGATCCAACCCCATGCTGTTACCGGACACCAATTTACACCATCCCATTCAGATGGCTGTCCAGTTTCTGTTTGAATGTGGAATACTGTGTCCAGTTTGGGCACCAAGATTTAAGAAAGATGCAGAAAAATTAGAAATGGTCCAGAGGAGGTCAGCAAAAATGATCCAGAGTTTGGAATCACTGCCCTGTGAGAAGAAACTGAGAAAACTGGGCATGTTCAGCCTTGAGAAGAGAAGACTGGGGGTGGGGGGCACGATATCCCTCTATAAGTACCTCAAAGGCTGTCACAAAGAAGCAGCTCTTTTTGCTGATACCAGAGTGTAGGACACGGAATAATCAATTCAAAATGTGACAACCCAGATTCTGGCTAGATATCAGGAAACATTTCCTCACTGTCAGAGCAATACAATAGAGGAACCAGTTGTGGGCTCTCTCACACTAGAGATGTTGAAAAAGAAACTGGACAACCATCTGAGTGGGATGGTGTCCAGCAACAGCAGGAAGTTGGACTTGATGGCCTTTATGGTTCCTTCCAAATCTACTATTCTATGATACTATGATTCTATGAAAGATAAAACAAAAAATATATTTCTTCCCTGGATTTTGTTCATATAGTAGTTTACTATGAGCCAAAGGGAAGAAATCTAATTCTCAAAAATGCAAATCTACTGAAGCACAGTCCTTACAAACAGAAGCATTAATAGGGTGATTTTTGTTTTTGGGTTGCATTAGTCAATTTGAATCCTACACCTATTTCTGAAATTGTTAATACACTCACTACTGAGTCAATGACAGATCTGTTATATTTAAACATGGGGCAAGTTTTGCAATAGGCTGTAAAAGTGTTTGCATCAGCTACAGAAATTTATATTTGCTATGTACTGTACAAAAGATAAAACAGAAAGATATATTCCCATTCTGCTTTCAGTGTTCAAATCCCTAGTTTTAGCTCTAAAAACTATTTTTTCCACTTTTATTATCTCTTTCTGCATTCTGACAAAATATGTTTTTGTTTTGAAAACTGCCTGTTCATGAAAAAGAGAACTCAGTTTTATTAACTGACTTTTGAGCCTCACAAGATATCGAAGCTTTGTCTATGATTCTTATTTTTATACAGGGAATACAAAAAAGCAATCCACATAAAACACTGTATGAACATTAAAACCAATGTGTAAGTAACTAAAGAGCAATCTTGATAAAGCAATCAGTCCTGGTCAGTATTGGCCAATAACGCCTCCAGAAAACCATCAGGCATGAGCTTAAATGGACTCTTACATGTGAGGAGTCCATGGCTAGAAACTGAACAGATATTGCCTCTTGACATTCTAATTGGGCACACAGGTAGTGTCTCCTTTAAAGAATATCCAGCAGAACTCAAACACTGCAGCTGAGCAGAGAGCTCTTGAGACTGGCTATGGATGCTCTCTGTAAGGATATATATCTTTACATGTCACTTAGCCAGTTACTGACTTAGGATTTGCAGCTATTAACTTTAAAAGGCAAGCCTGGTAATAAATCAGGGCATCAACTGAATATCTTTTTATTTAAGTGCATAATTCAAAAAAAAAAAAAACCCTCTAAAACATTCTTTGCTTTATTATAGAAGAAATGGGCCAATACTTTAAAGATGTCAAAAACACCAATATCAGCTTCCTGATAGCAAATGTAATGGTAACATTTATCATTGAGCTGCATTTATATCAGTTCACTTACTCTTTACATAACCCATTTAAAATGAACAATAAAAGTTTTCTTTAATTAGCTACTGGTGTGCATTAACATGATCATGATTAAACCATAAAAACCAACTGTACATTACTCAGGTCTCCTATCACATGTGTTTTAAATTATTTTAGTTGAAAATGTACTTTGAGTCCCTTTTAAAAGTTCGACCTTCTGCTTTCAGAGAATTAAATGCATATTACTGCAGTGGAGAAGATAATGTTTCAGACCTCCAGGCATATATTAAACACACTGGCAGCACATTAGACAAAATGCTTTACTTATTAGATACTTCCTATTCTAAACAGTGTCATCAAAGGCTAAAAACAAAATCCATATAAAAGCTGCACAATGCTTCCACACAGAACCTGTGCCAAAATCCCTGTACTTTCCAACTAATGAGGAAAGGATGTGCACTCTTAACATATGAATGTAAGATTTTCCAAGCATTTACTTTAGGAAACATTACTATTGATTCCATATGGCTTATGTTAAATGAAACTGTATTGGTAAAATAACCTTTAAGATATCTGGCATGATAACCATAATTAAACAGTATTCAAAGGAATAAAACAAAGGGGAATTTGGTTTCACAATGGCTAATTAAAATAAAATGAAAAAACACACCATGTCATCTATCAAGATAAATTGTTATTGTTTTAAAAAAAACCTATTTAAAATACTGTTAAAATATACTTTTTAGATACAATCTAAACGTACTGGGAAAATATTTGTGGCTTAAAAATGGATAATTTGGCGAAGAAAAGTAGTACAGGACTTGGAAATTTTTTATGCTGAGAGAATAGTTTTAAAGCTTTGAGCATAACCAGATGGGTCTTAAATCAGAGGATTTCTACAGTTACTCTGTCTGAGTGAATTGTAACGTGACCAAAGTTTTAAAATGCTAAAAAATGTCAAGTTACTAGTTTACGTATTAGATCGCTTCAGTACATTTTCTTCATCATTTCACGTCATAGTAGCCCCTATAGAAAAGGTGATGAAAACTATGCTAGTAGCTAGGGAATTCTGGCAAATTCTTCCTTGTCATGTGTTGAGATAAGTGATTTTACTAGCTTAACCCTTTGAATTCAACAGCATTTAGGGAAGATAGAGCGTTAAGGGCTATAGCCATGTGTCTACCCTTCATGAATATACATTTTTGTTGGGCATCCTAAAACATAAGTGTAGATATACTCAAGTGCCTTTTACTGTGGGGATGAGCATGAACCATCCCTTCTAGCTCTGGCAGTCATATTATATAGTTCCATACAGAACAGAACAAAACAGAACAGATACTCTAATAATTTAGAAGCATCCGATTTCTTTTTATTAACTAGAAAGAAAAAATCTTACTAGCTAAATGTATTTCTCAAAGTTGCAAACACTGCAATGTAACAATTTGTACGCCAACCTGGATGCCTATGTTCTTTCACAAGCAAACACCGTAATTATCAAAGCAGGACAAATTATATT